GATTAACAGATTATCCGTTAAGAAAATTGAATAATCTGCCACCAAACCGATAAGCAGTTAATAAAAATATTTCAATCCGTTCCACATCCGTTAAACCGTTAACCCGCTACCAATAAGCCATTAAGCCACTTTTGTATTTCGGTTTTTGGTTATTGGTTTGGTTTTGAACACCCGTACATATCAGGATGCATATGCTTGGGGAGACAACTCTTATACCATTCTTTAATAGAGGGAGGTATACTTTTAATTCCATACTCTCGTTGCCCCGGGGGCCTGGGACGTGAGGTTGCCACTGCTGCAACTTCCCTCTGCCCGTGAGCCTGACTGGATGTGGCTTCTCCCCCTTTTCACTTCTTTGGTGATGGCACAGAGGATGTCTTCCGCTTTGTGGTGGCCACAACTTTTCCTTTTCCCTTATCAGTTGGTTGTACCATCTTTGTTTTGTACCTACACAAGCGAACGTCAGTCAATTGTAGAAGGCATTTAATCACTTTGAAACATAGTCGTACGACCCCACACTTAGCGGTTTAGAATATGGTTGTCAAGTAATTCAAGGCTATTCAGACTTCACCCTTTGAATTTAAGCAATAATTCGCGCTACAATACAACTAGTTCATGATGTAATACAATGTAAGTGCAATGCTTGAACCCTTCAGCCCGGCTATGGCGAGACACCCCACACTTAATTTTGATGTTCAGGAAGCTTACAACTTACTAGTGTATCAATTCTGGAGACTCGGGCTCCAATTGGGACATAACGTGCCTTTGAGACATTCTAGCAAATACATGGTGCGCACTAATATGGTTGAGGTTTTTGTGTGGGTGAGGGATTGCCTCGCCCTTCTAAATCGGCTTGGGTTTCGAGTGTAAACACTCATATGAACAACAAGAATAACAATCTTATGGGTTTCATGGGGTTGGGACAAACATGCACAATTTCTCATTCATAGCATTCATAGATTATGCAATTTGCAATTTTTACCTCAATTGTTCCCAAAGTAGAGGAGAAGGAGAGCATAATTCACACCTTGAATACTGTAGAGGAGGAATGAATCTTCAATTAGTGGTGATTTTTGAGATAATATTTGGGTGAGATGAGATGGAAGGAATTTGATTTAGAGAAAGAGAGAAGGAGGAGGGTGGTAGTGTGATGTTGAGGGGTTTTGAGCATGTGTTGTGTTAATGTTGTAGGAGGGTGTTAGAAGGGAGTGTTGGGGTTTTAAAATTAAAAAAGGGCAGAGTACTTACCTTGCGATGCCCGTTCTCACACGATATGGACCTGGCACTAGGCCAGGCGACGCCCAGTAGGATGCGAGCTTCTTGCCAGGCGACACCCAGTAGGACGCGAGTTTCTTGCTAGGCCACGTCCACTAGGACGTGCGATGGACCTGGCGTTGGGCCAGGTGACACCCAGTGGGATGGGATATGGGGGTGCATGCTGGGCTGGGCTAGGCCAGCTCTGTAGCGAGATCATTCACGTTTGGACTTCCTCATGCGTTAAACTGGCCTCTTACATGCTCCCTTACCTATTCAAACCTCAAAATTCAACCAAGACTTGTTAGTACCTAAATATCAAAGTCAAAAAAATACTTAAGTTGATCTACACTACGAATTGGGTTGCCTCCCAACAAGCGCCTTAGTTAACATCATGGCATGACGTATACAACATCACAATGGGTTGTCTTCCATCAAGCGCCTGATTTAATGTCGCAGCACGATGCAAAATGTTCCCTCAAGCATCCACCAAGTCTATCGAAGTTTTTTGATGACGAATGCCACCACCCCAATAGTGTTTAACTCTCTGCCCATTGACTAAAAATGTGCCATCGTTTTCGGGATCACGTAGCTCAGCAACTCCATGCTTTGTAGCCCGCACTACTTCAAATGGACCAAACCATCTAGACTTGAACTTCCTAGGAAAGAGCTTCAACCTTTAATTGAACAATAGAACGACTTCCCTGGTTCAAACTACCAATGCAAAATATGTTTGTCATGCCATCTTTTTGTTTTCTCTTTATACAACTTCGCATTCTCATATGCATGTAGTCAAAACTCTTTGAGTTCATTCAGTTGCAATATCTGTTTTTCCCCAGCTAGATCCATAGCGAAGTTGAGCTTCTTGATTGCCCAATATGCCTTGTGCTCAAGCTCAAGGGGCAAGTGACAAGCCTTTCCATAAACCAACATGTTTGGCGAAGCGCCAATTGGAGTTTTCTATGCAGTGTGATATGCCCATAGAGTATCATCTAGCTTGCTAGCCCAATCCTTCCTACTTGCGCTCACTGTCTTCTCCAAAATTTGCTTCACCTCCCTATTTGAGACCTCCACTTTACCACTGGTTTGCGGATGAAAAACAATTGCGACCTTGTGTCTCACCCCATACTTAGCTAAGAGGTTGCCCAATAGTTTATTACAAAAGTGAGTACCTCCATCACTAATCAAAGCACGTGGAGTTCCACATCTTGTGAAAATATTTTTCTTCACAAAGCTTACCACTACCTTAGCATCATTCATAGGCAAAGCCACAGCCTCAACCCACTTTGACACATAGTTAACTGCAACCAAGATGTACCGATGGCCATTTGATACTGGAAACGGCCCCATGAAGTCTATTCCCCAAACATCGAAGATTTTGACCTCAAGTATGCTCTTCAATATAATCTCATGCCTTCTCGAAATTATACCCTTCCTTTTGCACCTATCACATCTTTTCACAAAAGCATGTGCATTCTTGAATAGCATAGCCAATATAATCCCGACTGCAACACCTTTGCAACCGTTTTGTCTCCACCATGGTGGCCCCCATATGGTGATGCATGGCAATCATGTAAAATTGCTTCCATCTCCTCCTCAAGAACACATCGACGCATCAGCTGATCTGCACATTGCTTAAGCAAAAGTGACTCATCCCATAGATAAAGTCTAACATCATGCATGGATTTTCTCTTACCATCCGGTGAAACTCTGATGGAGTCACCCCACTTACAATGAGGTTCACATACTCATCATACCATGGGGCTCTGCCAGCTGTGATGGCTAGCAATTACTCATCTGGAAAACTTTCCTGAATTTCACCCCCTTCTTGAACATATGCGCGAGTTTCCAAGCGCGACAAATGGTCTGCTACCTAATTTTCTATCACTTTTCGATCTTTGATTTCCACGTCAAATTTCGCAAAAGAAGAACCCAATGAATTAGTCTAGGCTTAGCATCCTTTTTCTCAAACAAGTACCGAATAGCTGCATGGCCTATGTAGACGATGACTTTAGTTCCCACCAAATAGGCCCTAGATTTGTCAAACGCCCAGACCACCGCCATCAACTCTTTTTCTATGACTGTGTAATTTATCTGAGCTGGGTTTAGAGTTTTGCTAGCATAGTAAATTGAGTGGAACACTTTATTTTTTCTCTGGCCCAATACGGCCCCAATTGCCGTGTCACTAGCATCACACATCAACTCAAAAGACTCTCCCCAGTCTGGGGTGGTGATAATTGGTGCAGTCACCAATCACTTTTTTAGCTCCTCGTACGCCTTCAAGCAATGTTCATCAAACTTGAAAGGCGTATCCTTCTCAAACAACCTGCACAATAGAGCAAAAATCTTAGAGAAATCTTTAATGAATCTACGATAGAAACCTGCATGTCCCTAAAAAGATTCCGACTCCTTTGACAGAGATTGGAGGCGACAGTTTTTCAATTGCATCCACTTTTGCCTTATCCACCTCCAAACCATCTTTGGACACCTTGTTTCCGAGTACAATTCCTTCTCGTACCATAAAATGGCACTTTTTCCAGTTCAGCACTAAGTTCGTCTCTTCACACCTGAAAAGCACTTTACTCAAAAGATGGTCCAAAGACCGAAAAATCATCCATAAATACTTCAACAAATTTTTTGACCATATCAGTAAAGATTGCCATCATGCACCTTTGAAAAGTCGCAGATGCATTGCATAACCCAAATGGCATTTGCTTAAAAGCATAGGTGCCATAAGGACAAGTGAATGTGGTCTTCTCTTAGTCTCCTGCTGCAATTGATATCTAGTTATAGCTAGAATATCCATCACGGAAACAATAATAATCTTATCTAGCCAACCTATCTAGCATCTGACCAATGAAGGGGACGGGGAAGTGATCATTTCTAGTGGCATTATTCAATTTTTCGGTAGTCTATGCAAATTCTCCAACCCGTGACAGTCCTAGTTAGAATTAATTCATTATTATCATTTATGACCACCGTCATTCCCCCCGTTTTAGGTACACACTGGAATGGACTTACCCACTTGCTGTCAGAGATGGAAAAGATAATACCTACATCGAGCCACTTTATGACTTCCTTTCTTACCATTTCCTTCATAACTGGATTCAAACGGAGTTGGTGTTCCACACTCGGTTTGTGCCCATCCTCCATGAGAATTTTATGCATACAAAACGCTGGGCTAATACCATGAATTTCAGCCATGGTCGATCCAATCGCCCACTTGTACTTTCTACGCATACAAAGTAGCTTTTCTTCCTGCAAAATAGATTACTCAAAAGATAAAACAACATGTAAAGTTTCAACAGCACCCAAATAATCATAATGAAGATGAGCAGTGGGTCATTGGAGGAGATTTCGATGTTTGCAGATTTGAAAGTGAGAGGTACAATTGTATTGGAAGGTCTAGGGCTATGAAGTCTTTCACCGATATTATACAAGATCTGGAAATCATAAATTTACCACTCCAAGGGGATCAATACACTTGGTTCTGAGAGGAAGAATCTTTGCAAGCTTCCAGAATTAATAGGTTTTTAATATCTACCGGATGGAATGACAATTTCAAAGCAATCAAGCAATTATCCCTCCCAAGAGTTGTCTCTGATCATAGACCTTTGCTATTGGAATGTGGTGATTGGGGAGCTAACCCTTCCTATTTCAAGTTAGAAAATATGTGGCATGAAGTAGATGGTTTCATTGATAAAATCAAAGGATTGTGGCAAAGTTATACAATTGGGGGCAGTCCAGACTTCATTTTAATGCAAACATTGAGAAGATTGAAGAAGGACATTCAGATTGGAACAGGGAAACCTTTGGCCAATTGGAAGCACAAATTGCTTGAAGACCTAGCCTTACTGAAGCAAGTAACTGAGAATAGAATAACGGCTTGGGTAGAAAAAGAGAAATCTTTGCAACTGAAACTGAATATACAACAAATGGCAAAGGTTGAAGATATATCATGGAGACAAAAATCAAGATGCATGTGGCTCAAAGAAGGAGATAGAAATACCAAGTTCTTTCAAAAAATGAAAAATTCTTATAGAAGGAACAACTCCATAGATAAGTTGTTAATTGGGGAAGAAATCAGTGAAGACAAAGATGGAATCGAAGCAAAAATCCTAAGGTTTTATCAAGATCTGTACACTGAAAATGAGCAATGGAGGCCAAGTACTCACTTTCAAAACCTGGCTAGCATAACAGTAACTCAGAAAGTATGGTTAGAGAGAATATTTGAAGAAGAAGATTGTATTGGCAGCAATTAATTCATGTGCAGCAGATAAAATCCCTAGCCTGGATGGCTACATAATGGCATTATTTCAAAGAGCATGGGAGTTCATCAAAGCAGACATTATGGGAGCTCTGAATTACTTTCATCAGCATTGCTACATGGTCAGGTCTAGTAATGCTTCATTTATTGCATTGATCCCTAAAAAGAAAGGTGCAATATAACTTAGAGACTTCAGGCCTATAAGTCTTATTGAAGCGTTTACAAGATATTGGCCAAACTTCTAGCTGAAAGATTGAAGACAGTCATGGGGAGTTTAGTATCAGGAGAGCAAAAAGCATTCCTAAAGAACAGACAAATCGTAGATGCATCATAGTAGCAAATGAGTTGCTAGATAGGAGGTTAAAGAGTAGAATTACTGGCATTTTATGCAAGCTCGATGTAGAGAAAGCTTTTGACAAAGTTAACTGGTCTTATTTACTAGAAATGCTGAAGGATATGGGTTTTGGTGACAAATTGATCAAATGGATTAGATCCAGTCTCACTACAGTTAAATACTTTATCTTAGTGAACATGACTCCAGTTGGATTTTTCTCTCCACAGAAGGGGATAAGACAACGAGATCCACTCTCTCATTTTCTTTTCATCTTAGCCATAGAAGGATTAAGTAAAATATTAGACAAAGCCAAGCAAATGCAGTGGATTGAAGGATTTAGGGTGGGCAGCAGTGTAGCTAACTCAGTCACAATATCACACTTGCTTTATGCTGATGACACATTAATTTTCTGTGGGGCAGACAAAATGCAGGTGTAATATCTAAACCTGACACTGCTCCTCTTTGAGGCTATCTCAGAGATGCACATAAATATGCTGAAGAGTATGATTTACCCTGTTAATTTTGTAGAAAATTTGGAAGAATTGGCTGATATCATGGGCTGTTACATTGGCTCCTTTCCAACAGCATACTTAGGTCTTCCGCTAGGAGCTAAGTACAAAGTTGCTGAAGTTTGAAGTGGAGTTATTGAGAAGGTGGAGAAAAGGCTGGCTACATGACAAATGCAATATTTGTCTATGGGTGGAAGACTGATACTAATTAATAGTGTTTTGAATAGTCTCCCAACATACATTATGTCACTCTTCCCTATGCCAATTAAGATACAAATGAAACTAGATAAGATAAGGAGATCATTCTTGTGGGAAGGCAACTTTGAAGGGCACAAATTTCATCTGGTGAAGTGGTCCAACGTAATCATGCCAAAGAATCAAGGTAGGTTGGGCATCAGAGATTTAGATAAACACAATAAAAGTCTACTTATGAAGTGGTGGTGGAGGTATGGTCAGAGAACTACATGCTTATGGAAGTAGGTAGTTAATGCTAAATATGGTAAACAAGATCACTGGAGAACCAAGCAGAGTAGAGCACCACATGGAGTCGGTCCTTGGACGCATATCAACAACCTGAAAAAATAAATTCTTTCAAGAGGTGTCCTTCAAGATTGGGAATGGCAATACTATAAAATTTTGGAAGGACAAATGGCTTCATAATGTACCCCTCAAAACATCCCACTTTAGCCTTTACCAAATAGTTAGTGAACCTGACTCCACAATAGCACAGAACAGAGTAGGAAACATATGGGACATTCACTTCAGGAGGAACATACAGGACTGGGAACTTGGTGAACTCTTCGACCTGTATAGTATATTGGAGGGCTTCACAACAGATCCATATGTACCAGACAACCTCAGATGGGGCAACTCTAGCAAAAGCATATATTCAGTGTAGGCAGGATATAACAAACTGTGTTCAGCTAATGAAGTGATTGAGCATTAGCCTTGGAAGCTGATATGAAAATCAAAACTCCCTGCAAAAGTATTGTGTTTGCTTGGACAACTATTAAAGATGCTATTTTGACCCAAGATAATCTATGCAGAAGGGACTTTCAGATGGTGAATAGATGCTACATGTGCCAACAAAGCTCAGAATCAATAAATCATTCTTTCTTACATTGCCCAGGGGCAACAAATATATGGCAATTGTTCCTATCAGTTTTTGGAATTAGCTGGGCAACTCCACAGAACATAAAGGTAGCAGTGAAAAGTTAGAACTCTTGGAAAGTTGACAGGGCCATCAAGAAGATCTGGCAAATGATCCCAACATACATCTTTTGGTATATATGGACAGAGAGAAATAACAGATGTTTTGATGGCATTTCAAATCCCAATTGCACCCTGAAATCTAAGTGTTTGATGAATCTGTTCGGTTGGAGTAATCTAGCCCTTGTAAATGATGTAATTTCCATGTTAGATTTTATTAGCTCTCTCACTATTGCTTAAAAGCCAATTTTTTTCTTTTGGTTTTGGTTTTGCTCTAAGCTCTGACCTAGATTTTTTGTATTAGGAGCAAACAGAACTTCTTTCTTGTACTCTTTGCATCTTCTTGATGCCTTTAATGCAACATCTTACTTCATAAAATTTTAAAAAAATATACTTGATATTGAATTTAATAAGCTCATATCTAGAATTTATTCCTTGTATTCATTATATATTTTATATTTCTTTTATTATGAAATGTTAATAAGTTTATGTGCCACTAAGCTTTATGCTTAGCGATAGTTTGTTACTATCGTAGGTGATGTGTCGGGAGATGCTTGAGAATATCATTTGAAGTAGACTCTTTGGAAGCTTAGATGAAGATCACACTTGCATAAGTATATGTATTCTTTTTGTAGACATTTGGGGACTTGTACATGATCCATATGATGCACTTAGATATGCACTCTTGAATGACTATTGGGTCATGGTGCTATTATTTTGGTAACTTAATCTTGGTAAATGATTTGACTTTTTTGGGGGTGTTTATGCCCAAGTCTTATAATTTATTAAATCTAGTACTTGAATTGAACGAGGGAGAATTTTTTGAAAGACTTAACTAGCTTGTATTTGATTGAGAGTTGGATTTTATGCTTAGTATGAGCCTTGAATGGTGTATGAAAAAAGATATTTTTTTACTAAGTATTTGGTAAATTAAGTATTGATTTAACTTAAATAGATGTTGCTATTTTCTTATCCATTTTTATATAGTTGTATCTTGAAATTTTAAAGAGATTTTTATGAGATTTGTTTAAGTTAAGATGTTGTATGTAGAAGTTTATTCATGGGCATATTTTCGTTTTTTTCTTTTTGCTAGTTTATTTTGTTAAAAGAATGTTTAAATTTATAAGTATTATATTAGTGTTTTTAAGTGACAACCTCCTAGGGTGTTGCTACAAGTTTTGGTATAAGAGCCTAGGTTTGTGATTCTAGGATATTTGTTGTGATCGTACCTAGTATTTATTGTTATTTCTTTTCTTAAAAATAACTCGGAGATTATAAATTTTTGCATACTTTTTTTAATGTAATTTGTTGTATTCATTGTGCATATGCATCATGTACATGTCCCTAATACAGTGTGATCTTGTCTTTTATAGGAATTTTAATATGGCCTCCTCTTCGAATAGAGCTATTGAATCCGTTGATGAAAGTCAGACCCATTATAATGCTCCACCTCACCTTCAGGGAGGATATAAGGAATCTTTTCCTAACCTAAACCATCCTCGTGTTAGTGAATCTGAAGTGGGAAATAATTCTAGAGAAATGAGTCATAGTACTCCTATTATGACTCTTCCATTTCAGTAGATGGCTGAGTTCTTTCGTCACTTGGCAAGGACAATATCAAAACCTAATGAAATGAATTTTGAGAAGATGTGAAAAATAGGAGGAGTTGAATTTGAAGGCACTACTGATCCCACGGTAGCTGAACAATGGCTCGAGAAAATGGAGAGGGTCTTTGAACAACTAGAGTGTACTAATGCTGCCAAATTTAAGTATACTATATCTCTTTTACAAAAAGATGCCTATGATTGGTGGGTAAGTATGCCAAAAGCAAAACCTCCAGTGCTTACTTGGGATGACTTTGTGAAAGTATTTCGTTCGAAATATGCCCCCCTGTCTATTGTGATGCTAAGAAAAAGGAGTTTCTAAATTTAAGACAAGGGAGTATGTCTATTGCAGAGTATCAACAAATATTTCTCAGGCTTTCTCGCTATGCTGGAGGTATTATTGATGATGAAAGAGACAAGTGCAGAAGATTTGAATAAGGTTTGAATGGTTCCATCCGAAAATTTATGGCAATCTTGCAACTGGAGGATTTTTCCAAGCTAGTTTCAGTTGCTCTTAATTGGGAAGGAATTGACAAGGAAGAAGCTAGTAGGAGAGAAAGCAAGTTTAGGAAGGGTAATTCGGATTATGGTAGTCCATCCAAGAAGGGAAAGTTTGACTATTACAAGACTGAAAGTGCACGGAAGTCATCATATCATAAGCAGAATAAGCCAAATTTCTCTACTGCTAGTACTCCAAGTTATGGCCAAGGTAAAACTTATATACCTATTTGTGCACAGAGCGGGAAGAATCACTATGGTGCTTGTTTTAATTGTGGAAGCCTAGATCATAAAGTGAAGGATTGTCCTAATCCTAATCCTCTTTCTTCTATACATACAGAAGGCTCAGTTCAAAAGCCTGTCACTACTCATTCTCAAGCTAATAGAGGTGCAATACTTAGAAATATGCAACCATTAGGTTCGAGTGGAGCTAATCAGTCTAGTGGGTCAAGAGCTACTGCATGAGTCTATGATATGAGACAGAAGAATGACCAAGATGGCCCATACGTAGTTGTTGGTAAATTTCACTTATTTGGCATATTTGTTGTTGTATTATTTGATCCTGGATCTTCACACTCTTATGTTTACTCATCACTTGCATTTTCTGATACTGTTAAATCTGTGAGACTTGACTTTGATGTGCTTGTCACGAGTCCATTAGGTCATCAGGTTGTTGTTAACAGGATTTATCGAGATTGTCCATTCATGATTCAAAATCTAGTCTTCCCTACAAACTTGCTTGTAATGTCCTTCCAAGACTATGATGTTATTATTGATATGGATTGGCTCCATAGACACCATGCATTGGTTGATTGTAGGTTGAAGCAAGTGACTTTTAGAACTCCTGCATATTCACACATAGTAGTTCAAGGAGAAAGATCATTGACATCTAATATATTTTTGCGGTCTTGGCAAGGAAGATGATTCGTCAAGGTTGTGATGCCTATCTTGCTCATATAGTCGATACACGATTGAGGAGTCCAAGTCTTAAGGACATACCAACCGTGTGCGACTTTCCTTATGTATTTCCTGATGATTTTCCTGGGTTGCCTCCAGAAAGGGAGATTGAATTTCCTATAGAGCTTGTTCCTGGAACTACTCATATATCTATCGCTTCTTATAGAATGGCTCCAGCTGAATTTAAAGAGTTGAAGGCTCAATTGCAAGAACTTCTTGAGAAAGGTTTTATCCGTCCCAGTATTTCGCCTTGGGGAGCTCATGTTTTATTTGTGAAAAAGAAATATGGCACTCTTAGGCTTTGCATTGATTATCGACAACTGAACAAGGTAACAATCAAGAACAGATACCCACTGCCAAGAATTGACGACTTGTTTGACCAACTGAAGGGTGCCAGCTTGTTCTCAAAAATTAACTTGAGGTCTGGATATTATCAATTGCGAGTGAGGGAGTAAGATTTTCCTAAAATTGCTTTTAGGACCAGGTATGGCCATTATAAATTTTTGGTAATTCCATTTGGTTTGACAGCTGCTCCTGCTGCATTTATGGATCTAATGAACTGTGTATTCAAGCCTTACCTTGATCAATTTGCGGTGGTCTTTCCTGATGACATTTTAGTCTATTCCAAGAATAGAGAAGATCATGTTAAGCATCTCTGGA